TTAACAAACACGTCCCATTCAAAACATTTTAGGTGCAATCCCATGGTTCATCACGGCGGAGATGTTTTCTCAAGGTCCTCGTCCTTCAGCCTGTGCTGTTGCTGCTACAGTCAACTGGATCGCTAACTTTGTTATCGGAATCGCTTTCCCTTCATTGCAGGTAAAAACCAATCAGTCACTTTTCTTTTCCATCTTTTCTTGTTTTGTTTTTTCCCATTCATTTGATTTCGATTCATATTTTTTTTATCAATGTCGCATTCCCTTCCTAGAAGGTAGAACGACCCTTCGCTATTCTCATTCTTTCTTCTTCTTTTTGCATTAAAAAATATTTTGAKAATTTATTATCGTAAATGCGTGAAATGGACCGTTTTCTCAAGGTTGCGTGCGCATCCAAYTTGACGGGCCACAAAMTGAAAAACKCRAATTCAGTAAAAATGAGAAGCCAGTTTTATATTTATACGCTTCATCCCTTGAGRGGATTTCTTATGATGTCATCATGGTATTAGTTGACGTCATCATCCTTCGAACCAATCACAGCGTGCGATCACTGCTGAACCAATGAAAGTTATCGAAAACGTTACCGTCACGGCACGGCACGTCCATACCGTGCGTTTCTCACTGGAGCGAGAGAGCCTCTGCAAAGCAGGRCATTCTCGTTYCCAGAACCTACTCATTAGCCAAATCGACCGATTCTCGCTATGAGGCGGCTCAGGGTAGAAGAATGGAAACCAGKGTACATCBAAGACAGCGTGAATCAACCAAATCACGTGACAAATAAACGTGTGTTGTAACTGATATTATGTCTTAATATTCTGTATCTACAGGAAGCATTGTATCCATACACATTCCTGGTRTTCATGGCTCTTGTTGCTTGCTTCTGGATATTCACGTTCTTATTCGTCCCAGAAACCAAGGGACGGACYATTGAAGAGATCACGGGACATTTTAGAAGTGGTGGCAATTCTAGGTTCGTTTTATATCGAGGACTGCGACGAACGAACCAAGATGGTGCCGAGGTAGTTCGATTATGAACAATCCCGATTATCATATTCTCATCAAATCTCACCAACAATGTGTTGGTTGGTTTCTCAAATGTAAGATGAAATTTGACTCTCAATATGCATGGATATTATTTATARACCCCTTGCATGTGACGTCRAAGCAGCTCGATCTGGGGGACAGAACAAAAAAATTYCAATCTCCTGGGAATTGGAACCTATTGTTTTGTCCCCCAAATTGAGCTGCATTCCAAAGTGCTGCATGTCATTCAATTTTTGGAATAAAATTATCAACGATTTTCAACATTTAATAAATATTTTCACACCTCCATCTGAGTATTACTTATAAGTAAAATATCTAATAGTCAGGTTGTTTTGGGAGCGAAAGCACTGGGGTTTTTGAATGTTTTTTAGTTTTTTTCTTTTGAAAGCAAAACAAACAAAAATCCCCGTCAACATTGCGTAAACAAGATTGGACGCCTGCTTCGCGCGCGCGCTGAAAAATTTGGGTCCCCTGAGATGTCAATTGTTGATAAAGAATTYTCCATTATTGCTTATCTAAATAAATCAAGTCTTGATTATATTTGAGAAATTCATTTTCCCTCTGATATATTTAACTTMAAAAAATATTGAATTAAAAATGAAATAAAAACGGATTCCAAAGAGGCGGATGTATCAATAGAAGATTCCTGTGTTTAATTTGGCAAAACTGACGCAGTAAAGTAACTAGTATCGACTGGAATTTTTTTATATTATTTTCTGATTCTCCCCTAGAATATCCGCTGTYATTTGTCCTTGATTATAAGAGCCCCTCGTACCTGATTAAGAAATAGTTCATCAGGGTTTTTACTGTGTCAATACAAACAGCCACAAATCTATTATCGAGTTATTAGTTTTACTTTTTTGATTTTCATCACTTTTAGTGCATCATTATACGAAGGAATATTACATAATGTTGTAGGGACTCGAGACCATAAGAAATTCAATAAAAACCAGCGTGYATTGTGAACTATAGTCATTCGGCAATAATCGACCACATACACCTTCAATTCCCAAAGGAAAGTCACTTATTGTCGATGGCGCTTAAAACTAGTTTTCACATGGAAGAGGTAACAAGAACAATGCTTGGCCGACAATTGGATTTTGCTTTGTTGTTCAGGGATTCAATTTGGATCAGAGTTCRAGAGCAATTTCTATCGTATTCTGTATCAGAAATGCCTAGTGTTTTAGAGTTCATTGGAGCAATAATAACAAGAGTTCTGTTTGGGGTTCATGCAGTGCTTGTTATATGGATCGTACTTCAGTTATATTCAGGATACGAAGCGTACTGGGTTGTGTGTACAGGACTTTGCTTTCTCGCCATAGAAACCTTGTTTACTCTAATCATTCGCAAAGGACAGGAATATAGATAGTAAGTATACATTATTACGACTTCAAAATTGTCTTTCAATTGCTTGAGAGAGTAGAATTTTACTTTTTTATGACAAGTGTTTTTTTTTTTTTTGCATTTGGAAATGGTTTTCTGATCACAGCGCACGTCATGGCAACAACCTTTATGAATCTGTTATTTTGTTTCATGACGAGAAAAGAACTTYATAAACCGTACTTAAGATTCAAATCAAACACCATCTTTATGAAAGTATCTCCKTGTTTACACAGTTTTTTCGTATTTACTCGATTGGTTCTCAATTAGACAATTATTTTATTACATATATTATTTAGATTTCCGAATTCAACATCTTGTCATGCTCGGTTGATCATCTGCTGTATTTTTGAACGACTTTGCCTGYGGTGACAAACAATCTGGCCAATAATAAAACAAAAGATAGAACTTTTAATATCTGTTCAAACCATTAGTGTTTTTTTCCCATCTTRACACAAAAAGAAGTAAGGAGGATATTTGATTTTCCTTGCAGTTTTTGGCCCAGCTGTTTCTTCTATCTTTGTTCCTTGGTACCGTGTGTTTGGATCCTACATATTAATATGCTCACAAGTAGAGTATCTGGAACCAGAGGCGCGACTCTCTTGATATCAGGGGTACGTAAGACTTTTTTGAGCAGCAATCAGTGTTAGCTAGTAGTGACGGTAGCATGCCAGACGATAGGGGATGTAGTACATAGCGATAGATGCTGGCGCAGCACCAGGAGAAGTAAGAGCAGCAACAACAGCAGCAGCAGCATTGTAATAGCAGTATATTATTAATATATATTTGTAGTAGTATTAGTACCCAGTGTCAAGTACTAGTAAGAATAGGAGTAGTGTTATTATTAGTAGTAGTCAGTATAGCAGCAGAGATACCAGTAGACAATAAGTAGTGATGGCGCGAGTAATCATAGCCAGATAGACCTACCCATATAGAGGCTTTGCACTATGATGGCAGCCATGGCAGGCATAACAATAGAGTCTTTTCCCCTTGGGAAACTGAATCCTTTTTAATGTAAATCATAYTAGACCGAAATCAATTGTTCCTGTCATGGCTGCCATCACGTGATGGTGTAAAGCCTCTATAAGCATTGGTAATGTGATAGAAGAGGGTGRGTGTGTAGTTGTGGATGCACGTTAATATGATAGTCGTGACACCTGATCACTGACTTGACGCTGATCTCTCATRCAGAAAACTATAGATGAAGGATTCGTAAGCAAAGTGGCCGAGATAGGACTTGTACTAATCATCATTGCAGGCAGGTGGATYTTACCTCGAGGAACCATAACACGTGACCAGTTATCAGCTCTCCTACTGGAATACATTGCTATAGCAGCGGACATCCTTGAGCTGTTTGGCGCGTTTGAAGAGCCTAAGGTAAGAACGTTGATCCATAGTATTCATTGATTATAGCTTTAATTAATAAAAATGAGTTAGCACATAACCATTTCAAGCAAATGAACGCCTCCCTCCTTCATGAAGAAGCTCTGCAACTGTGTCTCTTGAATGCCGGAGACTCGCCTTAAAACCCAGTAAATTCAGTTTCCCGCCAAAAAACATAGGCCTTTTGTCCTGCATCACAAAGGTCCATGAATAGCTGACGTACGGCATCCATATTCACATTCAATTCCGTTTTTCTTATTTGTAGGTGGAGGGAAACTACCCAGTAACTGTGGCAATACTGTCCCTGTATTCTTGGAGCTTGCTGCAGTTCACTTTCAGTTTCACAGCATTTGTAGACGACGATGATGAGGGGGAGGAAGAGAAAGAAGACAAGAATCAGGTAATCCGCATCTAGCAAACTCTATGAAAAAAATGCATTTTTTTACCTCGCAAAYCACACGATTCCCTGAAAACGTGTGATAAGGATTTCTTCAGCAACTGATCAATGAGCCTGACAAATGATCCGTTGTATCGTAGAATGTGCAAACTATCCGTAAAGAACTGATGCCTGCAGTATCGCGGAAATATCTAAGAAGACTGATTACCAAACAGGAGAAAGAAAAAGCTAAGAAGAGGAAGAGAGGAGTTTACAGGTAACAAACCGTTTGTATGAAATAGTAGGAAACTGATTTATACCATGGCTGATGACATGCAGGGGGTAACGATAAGGGAGGATCATTGCGYATGTGCTTTGAATYGATTGGAACAGTTGACAAAGCGCTCACATGTGAAATATAACAGCACCAACAGAAGCAACAATAAAAATAGCAGCAGAAAAAACAACAACAGCAACAACAGCAGCAGCAAAAACAACAGCAACAATTACAACAGCAGCAAGTACAGTACTGAATTGAACAACAGCGACAAACAGTCATAACAACAGAAGCAGCAACTAACAGTGGGTTGTTTTCAAATGCACTTCAATCATATATTGTCTTGTTTATTTTCCCCGCCAGTGGCAGATCCGAGTCCCAAGTTTCTGTGACAGACAAAGACAAGAGTAAAGAAGTGATGAACAAGATGCAGCTTCATGGAGACCTGTTTGGCATTCTCGCTGCCATCTTCATGCAAGATGGACCATTTCTAATTCTGAGGCTGTATTTGATTAGCGCGCTAGGCGTAAAGGGTGATTTACAAATATTTTTCGCGGGTAAGAATGCCGTCACCCTTGCACTGTTAGTCTACAGGCTTTTCTCCATTCAGTGTTTAAAGAAACAAGACGAAAGAACGCCGTATCAACGGTTTAGGACCGCGTCTATAGCTGTTGTAGGCGTGAAGATTTTGCAATCACAGACTTTCCATGACAAGATTAATTTCTACAATGAGAGAGACATGAAGTTGGAGACAAATAAGGATGCGTCAAACAAGGACACGTCCGACTCTCCTTCGCCCGAAGCTTCTTCTCCTGACTCTTCTCCTCCTGTTAAACAACTAGCTTTCGAAGCGTCTGCATGACCAAGTATGGAAAGTTGATCATTTGCGATAAGCTAATGCATACACAGCGGCCATGTTGATGGAAGTAACAAGTAAAGCCACCAACATGGCMACAATGACGTAGAACAGTCTAGCTTTGATCTCCTTTAAGAAAGGGTACCGTAACGTATTATATGGAAGAGCACAATTCAAGAAGAAAATATAACGGCACGGACGTCACGTGACCGTGATGGGACCGCGTACGAGCATTTTCATTGGACGACATACCATACGTGA